CAAAGGAAGGAGGCGTTTTTGACTGTCCACTCTGTGGAAAAGAGGAAGGAAGTGCAACAGGCCATCTGCCAGGATGCTGGACACTCCCTGAATGTGAACAGCGCAGAGTCAAACCCTGAGAACTCAGCAGAAGAACCACTCGAAGCGACCAGCCCCAAAGAGCCACACACCGCAGAGAACCCCCCCTGGTTGAGACAATGAAACACAGGGGAGCTCAGTCCAAATGGAATCAGATCACAGAGCCCTGAAGGATCAGGCAAAAATCCAGACAGGAAAACAAGGCCAGAGGCAACGTGTGTCCCCAGTGCACATCAGTCAAGAACTGGAGGGTTGAGCTGCTGGCTCACCAGCTTTGTTTATTTGTTTTCTTTTAGGGGGAAGTTCTTTGGCTCTGTTCGGATGGAGGTTGCAATTTTCACCAGTTGGAGGTTTGTATTATGCCTACCTTTCTGGGGGTATACCCCAGTCGATGGCCAACATGACATACTCTAAATGTAGAGTACTGTTCTCATATAGCCATTGCTCCCTGTGCCTCTGAGGGGGTCAGGTTCTGGCTCATGGTTCCCAGTAGACAAGAACTCCCGTAACCTATGTCCTCAAACTAGTATAACACACATCAGTCTTCAGGGCTCCCCACAGAAAGACCAGATGCCTAGTGCGGAGCAGTAAGGCGAACTAACGAGGTACCTCACTGGCCCGATCTGCTGGAAGAGGCGAAGCCACGGAAAATCGCCCAGGTTCAGACACCGAGCAACCAGTACCTGAAACAAAGGCTGGGCCAGTACCAAGGAGCCAAGAATCACCCTTTCCCGATAGGACTCCAAGCAACAGCTGGACCAGGAGAAAGAGGTACAGGAACCCTTTACCACGACCAGTCCTGCCAAAAAGCACCTAACACAACGGTCTTGCCATCAGGAAACGATGCCACATCCAATGGGAGACACCGAGACCATGCCAATGTGAAGAGGTCCACCTTCGGGTGCCCATACGTCCGGCAAAGCCAAAGTTAGGAGACAGCATCATCCATCCACTCCGTGGAAAGAGGAATGAAGCTTGACAGACCATCTGCCAAAACATTGGACACTCCTTGAATGTGAACAGCGCAGCGAACTAAATCCCGAGAACTCAGCAGAAGAGTCACACTCACTCGAAACGACCAGCCCCAAAGAGCCACGGACTGAAGGTACCTCAACACGGTTGAGACAATGAACCTCGGGGGAGCAGTTTGAATGGAGCCGGATTACCGAGCTCCGAGGAAGCCAAATTCGGCACAGCATCTGCCACAAACTCCTGCACCATGCTGTGAGCCCAACATAAGGACAGTCCCCAATAATCCTGGGGGGACTGGTGAGCACTGGTCACAAAGCCCCACACTGTGGCAGTGATGAGGGAAACACACACCAATTCACGTATCTCCCTGTATATGTATCTCTTCACGTATCTTTCATAGCAAACATAACCCACACCTGAGACATGTCACACAAAAGTGAATGACTGAGTCACCAGTAAGAACAAGAGCGCATTAACTACTGTATTTGCCAACGTAAAAGATGCACCCTCGCATAGGACGCACCCCTGTTTTTAAAGAATATTTTGTGGAAAAAACTATTTTAGTACATTTCATCATGCATTTATTGACAAATATTTTAAAGTATTAATATTATTAATATTTCGTACCACAACTCTTACCTCCTCTAAAATCAAGTGTGGTGTAGTAGTTTATATTTTGGGCAAGAGAATTGCTATACAGGATGTGAAACTTGTATTTCTTTAAGTGATGTTTTGTTGCTGAATCAGGCCACCAGGGTGGTGTACCCAGCAGTGGTGCACCATAACAGTGCTCTGGTGTTCTTGTCATTCAAACATTGCAAATGGCTGACAAGCAGATGAAAGTTGAACATTCCTTTCAAATTTCTAGGATAATTTTTCATTTAGATAATGAATAAATGTGTCTTAAAGGTAACACAGTCGATCAATAATGTATGACATAGCAGGTGTGGGTTATGTATACTGGGTATGATGATGCGAGCTTCCTTCATAGCTGTCGACGTATCATAAGTTTGTGATAACATTGTGATAATTTGGCTTGCTTTCAATATTTTATTATTAGCAACGATATTTGTGCCTAGCGAACTTACCCAGTAAAGTATGCTCGTCCAGCTCCCTAGCCTATCCTACTCGGTCTCCCATCCATAAAACAGCTTCATTAGACGCAGGGCACTTTTTTGATGCATTTAAAAATAAAAAAAAGTGCGTCTTATACGCTGGCAAATACGGTACATGAAAAACTCCCCAAGAATCAATAAAAGAATGATAAACTTCCAACCACCCGGCTGCCATACACAAAGAGTGGGAAACAACAAACCACAGCTGTAGGATGGTGCACCACGACTGGAGGCCAGTCACATCAACTCAAACTGTAGAGCAAAGCTCTTTCTAAAAATATACACAGAAACTGCCGATCTGAGAAGAGGGAAGAACAAGGGTACCAAAATCACCAGAAAATAGTGTGCAATAAATTATGATGAGCCAAACGAAGAAGTTGTTATATTAATACTTTTTTCCAAGAACAATACATTCAAGCAAAAGATAGATGCGCCCAACACGAGGGTGCTGAAATAACGTTGGCAAATACAGTAAAACTAAGTCCGAAAGGGAAGGAGGGGATGAAAACCCCTCCCCTGTAGCAACAACACCTGCCAAGAAGGCACAAGGGCCCAAGCAGGGACAAAAGGAGCCCAAGCGCTCCAGGCGGACTCCCCACGAGCCCCGGGAACCCCAGACACAAGTCCCGGAGCCGAGCCTTCTTCTAAGCCCATTTTCCCTGAAGAAAAGGCGGCATCCAGGGGAAAGCTTCCAAGCATGAAGTCTGCTTGGTTGACTCTGAAGCCCCAACGGGAAAATTGGATTCAACCACCTCGCCCAAACCGGAAGGAGCAGCCACCAAAGCCACCAGAGCCTCATCCCGAGCTAAACCCCACCCCGACTCCGAAACCCTTAGACATTTGGCAGGCGGAAGCTGGGGGATAAAAGAGCAAGGCGAACTACGCTGACCTGGAAAGGAAGCAGGGATGTGGAAGAAACCAAGGTTGAAGCGACCAACGCCCCCAAATCCTGGTCTCAAAAACCCAAGCAGGGCAGCTCCGGAGCATCCAACAGGGCAACAAACCTGGCCTGTTGCAGGAAGGAGAATCAAGCATGCAACACAGCCACTGCATGATCCTTGAGATCAACAAACAAGGAATGAATAAAGTGAATTACAAGAGGGGGAACAAAGCCCACATGACTCTGGGTCGGTGGTGTCCTCAACCCAACAGGCAGCGTGATGGAGGCAGTACAGATGATCGTTTCCCTGAGACAGGAGTAATGAACAACCTTCGACTTCACACAAGGGGTTTTTCACACCTGACCAAGCCCTAGGGGTTTTCCAGGGCCTGGAGGGTGAATTAGCCATTTGAGAAACCAAGGCACTGGGGCTAGCTAAGCCAGTAGAATCCTGTCAGGTAGCAGACAAACTGACCACTAGTAGAAGCTCTGAAACCTTGAGGGAAACACAGGAAAACTACCAACACAACCTAGGCTTGCCAAATAAGCAGCAGACCACCACTTTCAAAACAAAGCGAGAATGCCAGTGAATGAAAAGAAATGAAAACAAGACCTTCCAAAGACACACAACAAACTGCAGTTAGAGAGAAACATCGGCCGCTGCACTGAAGTAAAGCTAACTGCACCAGCTGCAGGGTGCCCCACCCAGCCAATAACACTCCCCCTATCCAAAGCAAGACGGAAAGCCCTAGACCTGTGATGTACCCCAAGGACGAAGCCAACAAGCGATAAAGGCCTCAAACAGGGAGTAATTCCCAAACACCTCAGGGAAGATAACCCTGATGTGCAAGGGCATTACTCACGGAACACCTAAGAAAGGTCAGCCTAGGCGCATGCTGCTCCTGTACACTTTAAGACACCTGACCACACCAACACACAGCTGGAACAGCCACACACGGCAAAAATACAGAACAGTAACTTGAGACCAGAAATGATTGAAGTGACCACCAGCACATCACTTCAACAACTGGAGTGGTGGACTGTCGGCTCCCCCTTTCCCACCAGGTGTAGAGCTAACAAGCGGAAGTGATAGTTGCATGAAGGGTGCTTGCTTGTTTTCTTTCTAGGGAGAATTATTTTAATCTTTTAGAATGTAAACTGCACATTTAACCAGACTGTGGTCTGTTTTGATCTGCCTACCTCTCTGGGTACTTCCCCGGTCGATGGCAATTATAACATACAGTACTTTAAATGTAAAGTGCTCACAGACTATTGCTGCCTGCACCTCTCTGTGGGGACCAGGTTCTGGCTTGTGGTTCCCGGAAGGCATAAGAACTCCTGTGACTGAGAACTCCAAACTAATATAGCACATATCAGTTCGGATAGCTTCAGGAAGCCGATGGGGCTCCCCACAGAAAATAATAAACAAAAAAACAAACAGCAAAAAGGATATAAGGCCAAAAGAGAAAACAATAATAACTAGATAAACTGGAAATGAAATGCATAGATGGAAATACTGAATGTTTTTCAGATTAAAAAACAATTACACAAATATTTGAACTTCTGATGCCTGAAAACTTGATTATGAAAATAGTTGTGATGGCAAGCAAGTCTCCAAAACCACTTACATTACAGTAATTGTAAATACAGTACTTAAAATAGGATAATGTGATCAGCTTAACTAGATTAACCCTTCAAGGTAAAATAAGGTAATTATCAAGAGAAAGCACTTGGCCATTATGACTATATAGCACTTAGAAAGAATAAGGGGATAAGGATTTAGGATAGAATGGAGGAAAGAATTGGTGTCCAACCACTTGGACAGTCATGGATTGAACACTGACCTGAAAGAAGTAAGACTGTTGCCCTACCATCCAGTCCAAGTGGTTGAGCATTAACTCTTCAGGGAAACAGTTTTATATTATTCTCGAACAAACGTATTTAAGATGTCTTACCTGCAATCTTGGTCCTAGTTGTCCTGGACCCATTCCCGGGTGTCTTGGTGCCATTCCCTGAGGTCCAGCGCCCATGGGTTGTGGTGATTGTCCTCGAAGGTTTGGTGGAACCATAGGTCTGTTTAGTCCTGGCAATGGACCATTTGGCATCCCTTCATTCATCTGAGATGCCATGGGACCACTCATGTTCATTGTAGTTACCACACCTTGTTGTGACTTGTTCATGGAATTCATTGTATTCATAGTATTTATGTTACTTACAGTATTCATGCCACCAGCCATGCCTGCACTGTTTGCCATACTACTTAGGCCCATTGACGTATTGGTGTTAACAAGGCTCATGGAAGATACTGCAACATTAGAGGCCATTGTTATCGACATGGTTCCTGTCACATTGGCAGCCATTGAGTTAGCTATACTATTTGGCATAGTGTTCAAATTATTAACGTTGTCACTCATTGTTAGTTGTTGGCTAGACGTCGGAACACCACTCATACTTAAATTTGTATTTTGAGGCGATTGCATTGGTCCACCATGCGGGCTTTTGGAATTTGTTAATGCGTTTACTATCATATTGCTTTGGTTGGGCATATTGTGTGGGCCGGTGGACATTGCATTATTTCCGGCCATGGAGTGGGGCGGGGTTTTGGTTTGGAGGAGATGAGTCAGTTGCTGGGGGCGATCTCCAGGACCACCACCACCACCCCCACTACTTTCCATCATACCATTGACACCACCTCCACCACCACCGCCACCACCCTGAGAGTCGCCTGACCACATCAGGTCGTCTGGCAGAGCATTCTCCAACATCGCAGCAAAATCATCTGAAAAAAGAAATAACAGTTCACTCATATATTTCAGACAACTGTATGTTGTAAATTATATTTCTAAAAGTATGTAATGAACAAAATACACAATGACCTGCAAACATACATACATACACACAAAAAAAATATTAATATATATTATATATATATATATATATATATATATATATATATATATATATATATATATATATATATATATATATATATATATATATATATATATATATATATATATATATATATATATATATTTTTTTTTTTACTGTACAGTATATTCATATGTATATATGCATATTGTATATGAGTAACACAAATACGAACAAGCAATATACATATACTTATCTCACTAATACCTTATTAATATCACATCTCAAAAGACATTGTACCTCACCTCCCCTCTTTCCTGCCTATATATCCACACAACTGACCCGTAAATCCATCCTTCTGAATATGAATTTATATAAAAGTATTTATGGAAATTGCTGTCTTAATCCTTCCTCCTGGAGCATACCTTGAGAGGGCTCTGGGAGTTGTTCTACTTCCTGAACCCGGCCTTACCTAACCTTGCAATGATTTTGGCTATTAATTTTCAGCCGATTTCGTCGAGCCAGGCTTGAGCCCAGGCTCGACATGATAACTTGGTCCTACAGGCTGTTGCTTCGAGTGACCCGCAGGCCCACATATCCACTACAGCCTGGTTGGTCTGGCACTTCTTGCAAGAACTTATCTAAGTGCCTCTTGAATACATCCACCTTTGATCCAGCATTATTTCAAATGCTTGCTGGGAGGGTGTTGAACAGCTGTGAACCTCTGATGTTCAGACAGTGCTCTCTGATTGTGCCTATGGCACCTCTTCTATTCATTGGTCCTATTCTGCATTTCCTTCCGTATCTTTCATTCCAGAATGTTGTTACTCTACTGTGCAAATTTGGGACCTGGCCTTAAAGTATCTTCCATGTGCTATATATTATTTGATACCTTTCTCGTCTTCTTTCCAAACAGTACATTTTGCTTCGAGACAGTCCCAATAATAATGGTTTTAATGAGAAAACCATTTGGAGTAATGAATTGACTTGAACCAGCATTCTGGAGACTCCCAGACAATGTCCTTAACCAACTCAGATATGATAGAACAAAAAGTTATTCAACACAGAACTCTACTGACTCTAGCGTGAAGGTCTCAAAGGATACCTGATCAACAGACTGTAATTCATATATCAAGCTATGAGCAGCAGTGTCAAATAGCCTGGCTGACCAGACTACCAACCCGGCAGCCTGGTCAGAGACTGGATCAATTAACAAATCACCCAAAGCCAATCCAACACCAAATAGTGACCTGCTGCAGGCCGAGCCGTACCACAGGAGGGTGGGAGAGATGTTGACTGGGAATCCCAGTTCTGTCCAAACCTGGGAGAGAACCAAATAGAACTTCCACCAGTTCACCAGGAACCTAAATCTACCAAGTGTGAAAGAACAGGATCCCTGACCAGCTGACACTAGAACTGGATGAGGGCTCAAACCAGCCAGTTGTCGAGGTAAAGTACTGTTATTATCAGGAGAAAGCATAAAGTCTTTGGTAGACAAGGTAGACAAAGACAAACTCTTAAATAAAGACACAGCCAGGTCACAGTTACCTCAGCTAACTTAGCAAAGATCCGAGGAGCCAGATTCAAGCCAAAGGGCAGAACCCTGAAGCAGAAAGCCTAAAGACCCACAATGAACCTTAACCAGTACCTGCTTGACAGGGTTCTGGGAGTTCTTCTACTCCCCAAGCCTGGCCTGAGGCCAGGCTTGACTTGTGAGATTTTAGTCCACCAGGCTGTTGCTTGGAGCGGCCCACAGGCCCACATACCCACCACCGACCGGTTGGTCCGGAACTTTTTTAGAAAACAAGTCTAGTTTTCTCTTGAAGATGTCCACGGTTGTTCCGGCACCAGAACCTCGGAAGAATAGGAACCCGACAGTCTGCATCCTTGAGGTCCAAGGACACCATCCAGGAACCTGACAGTAATACATGACAAACTGGAAACAACCAGGACTCTCGCCAGAGTCGAGATTGACTTGACCACACCTAAGTCTAATTACAATGCAAAGATTGAGGAGTAAGACTCCTGACCTGACACACCCAAACCCAACAGAGGGGGGGAGGGGGAGTAAGGGTGGACAAGAAAGCGCACAAATCATAAGACCAAAAGTTGGGAAAATGGCCTAGATGCCCCTCCCCACAGAATCCTCAAAGGGGTGAACTGTAAAATGGACACTACAAAGACCCATGAGCAGAGCCAGCCTTCCACACTACATATTGTGATGATGAGCAGAAGAGGCACCAGCTGAAGAAAGAGCAAGGGTCCAACAATCTGACTCCATTGGGGGCATACTCCAACCAACAGTAGGTGAAGCCCCAACCCTACCACTAGAACCCTACTAGATCACCTTCAACCTGAGGACACAGAACCCTGCTCAAACACCACCTGACTGAGAGGCCTAAATGGTGCAGCAGCAGCTGCCAAAATTACTTAAGATATTATATTCAGGAGAGATGAGAGTAAAAAAAAAAAAAGAAACAGACAAAGGGAGGGTTAAGGACCGAAACAAAATTTAAAGCCTGGGCCAGCACAGCCTCTGAATATCCACGATGGGCCAAGTAAAAAACCTGTCACTTCATCACAACATAGAGGGGTGAACAACTTGGGCAAAACTGCCAAAGTCTACACCACAGGCAACAAGGATGCCACACCAAGAAATGATGCCAGCATATCCAGGCCTTCATGAAGCTTGTCCACAAACAGCACAACTGCCCAAACACCCATGACAGCAGCCAGGTGGATATGAACTCCATGGTCTTCTGCAGTAAGGGGTCCAGAGAACACAGACAGCTACATTTGCAGTTGCCACTTGCCCACATCCTTCGAAGCAAGTGAGCAAAACACAGTCTTCAAGCAGTGTATAGGGAGTACCCCTTCACCCCCAGTTGAAAGCAGAGGTGCAACAGGTACCGTATTCTGAGAGAGAACTCTATCAACATCAGAGGCCCAAGACTATTTAACACGCTTCCACTACACATAAGGGGCATAACTGGCTGACCCCTCACAGTGATCAAGAAAGAACTCGATAAGCACCTCCAAAGGATACCTGATCAACCAGGCTGTGATTCATACTTCAGGCTGCGAGCAGCCACATCGAACAGCCTGGTTGGCCAGTCCAGCAGCGAGGAGGCCTGGTCGACGACTGGGCCGCGGGGACGACAAGCCCCGGAAACACCTCAAGGTAACCTCAAGGTAACCTCAAGGTAAGGTAACCCCCAAGAACACCTGAAAGAAGCAATTCACTTCTTGTAACTCAAGCATTTAGGCTCAAGATAACCCATACCAAGCCCCCCCCCAAGGAAAGAAGAGGGTTATGAAGCCAGGATGAATCCAGGACTTCATAATGCATCCAATAGGTAGCAGCAGACTCGAACTTGAACAAGATTGGGTCCATCAAAGGAATCCTTCAGAAAATGAAACAAGTCTGCTCACATATAATGAGCATAACTTGCCGGCTTCTCATAGTGTTCAAGAGAGAACTCGGCAAACATCCGCAAAGAATACCTAATCAATCAGGCTGTGATTCATACGTTAGGCTGCAAGTAGCCACATCCAACAGCCTGGTTGACCAAGACAACCAACCGGCGGGGTCATTGATCCTCAGACGCTAGACAAGGTAGACACCACAGAAGATTAAGGCATGACAACAAAATCCACCAGAAAAAAGTCAAGCCTGGCCCCAGGCTAGGCTTGGGGAATAGAAGAACTCCCAGAACCCCATCAAGCAGGCAAGACAAATTTATGGAACCAAATGGAACAACGGAGCAAACCCTGTGGGAAGCATCCAAGTACAGTACAGTAATTGGCCTCAAACATTGAAGGATGGTTGGATACATTCTGCCCTGGAGAACTATACCCTCATCTGACTGAACTAACGTCCAGGATGAGTTGAAGGGCACCCCCATAGACCTCTCATTTAGGCTCTCTCTCTCAGCCCTGGTAGCCAGCCACGATGGCCCCAAGGTGGAGCCATTTTCTGTGCCTAATGCCTGGGACAGGAAGACATCATCCCAAGGAGTAGGATCAGAGCTAGAAATTGGTTGTGAAGGTGAAGACTCTGCAACCTCAGCTGGAAGTAATGTCTCGGCTGCCTCTACAGTCAAAGTGAATACGACCATCCTAAGAGATGACTGAACTACCTCCAAAGTTAAACACTTACTTAGCTTCAAAACCATCACACACTTTGAAGCAAACCACACTAGCACAGGAAGGAAGAGGCAACACAGTATTAACCCAAGTGGAAAATACTTACACCTCCAAATATGGATCCTTGGACTCCACAGAGGTCAGAACTCGACCACAGAGGTCAGAACCCTCCTCCAATCAAGCACCACACAAAGAACCATGAATGAGGGAAAAGCAAGAATGCAAAATGCCAGCCGTCTGATATGACTCCTGTCTTGAGGCAGACCAAATAAAATAAGAGACCTTGTTTGTGCATATGTCACAGGCCTCGGGGTCAAAGATGCCACCAACTCAACAAGGTAGCAAGCCCCCTTTGAACTTGCATGTAGTGTGTGCAGGCTCGATGGACTGATCCATAATGAGCCACACCGCAGACCCACGGGGAAGTTACCACAGACCCACAGGGGAGTTACCGCAACCTGAAGGTTAACTATCTTGAGATGATTTCGGGGCTTAGCGTCCCCGCGGTCCAGTCCTCGACCAGGCCTCCTTTTTGTTACACACACTCCAGGAAGCAGCCCGTAGCAGCTGTCTAACTCCCAGGTACCTATTTACTGCTAAGTAACAGGGGCATTAGGGCGAAAGAAACATTTTGCCCATTTCTCTCTGCCTCCACCGGGGATCGAACCCGGAATCTCAGGACTACGAATCCGTAGCACTCTCCACCCAGCTGTCAGGCGAAGGGTATCTGCAGCATGAACTACCCAAGCAAGACAACCAAGC